TATATATCTAATATTTGTATCCTTCTTATAATCCACACCTTTCATTTACAACTCGACACTTGTATTACACCTTACACTTTTCACTGCAGTTTTACACTTTTTACATCTTTATACATTTGTAATACTTCAATTCATTAATTCACATATGTTTTTAAGAAAATATATATTTCCATCACACACATCATTCATTATTTGTATATAATTAATTCTTTTTGTCCTTTCGCTTGATCCTTCATGAAATATATATAATATATATATAGTATGTAGCATTCATCATCCACACCTTTCATTTACACTCTACACTTTTATTACACCTTACACTTTTCACTGCACTTTTACACTTTTTACATCTTTATACATTTGTAATAACTTCAATTCATTAATTAACATAATGTTTTTAAGAAAAATATATATTTCCATAACAACACATTCATTCATTTATTTGTTACATATTAATTCTTTTTGTTCTTTCGCTTTATACTTTCAATGAATAAACATTACTTTCTTAAAGATCTGGTGAATTTATTTATAAGTCGCTACATTTTTGGTGACCCCGACGTGATATTAAAGCCGACGTGATATTAAAGCCGACGTGATATTAAAGCCGACGTGATATTAAAGCCGACGCATTTTAAAGGCTGATGCGGAATAAGTGCCAAGTGATCGTCGTATTTGAAGTCTGCGAAATATTATCATCGCTTGGAAGAATTGCTGGATATTCTGATTTTAAGAGATTCATTCTCCGGATCTTTGAAACATCAGAGGCGGATTAGTCCTTCACGGAAATTCTCAAATCATTTTATCGGATTTCTGGAACAAGAGGAAAATGCCAATCGATAGATCACCAGTTAGACCCTGTTCGGATACACAGATTGATATGGATTTGGCGAGCGGATCAAATCAGGTTGGATCAAAAATATTAATATTTTACCTTCTCAAACTGGACATCAGGTGAGTGATCCTATGTTACAAATTCACTCAAATGAGTTTCGTTTATTAAAACTACCGACTTTCTGGCATAAAGCAACCTAAACTCTGGTTTGCTTCTATTGAAAGTGAGTTTACGGTTTATCGAATTCGATCAGATGATATTAAATATAGTTCTGTCATTCGTCATCTTGATGAACAAGCCTTAGTAAACATATCTGAAGTCATTGAAAATCCACCTGAAACAGATAAATATAATTATTTAAAGAAAATATTAATAAATCGCTTTACGGATTCAGAGGAAAAACGTTTGAGACAAATATTAGCTGGAATTGAACTTAACGATAAAAAGCCTTCGGAATTACTTCGAGAAATTCGTCATTTGTCTGGAGGATCTTTAGCGATAGTGTTTTACAAATGATTTGGCTTCAACGCTTACCACATAGAATTCAAACGACTTTAGCCGTAGTAGAGGATGTTCCTCTTGTTAAACTTGCGGAATTAGCCGATAAAATTGCTGATCGGGACGGCGGTTTGCAAGTCGCGGAAGTTTCCAATAATGCAAGTAATAAATCTTCGGATTTCGCGGATTTGCTACGAAGAATCGAAGCTCTTGAAGTTTCTCGTCGTCGAGATCGTTCCAAAAGCCGGTCTAGAGAGAATAGAAGATTTAGATCGTTATCGCGTAACAAAGACAAATCAAATAAAGATATTAAAGATACATCAATTTGCTTTTACCATAAGAAGTTTGGTGATAAGGCTAAACGATGTACTTTACCTTGTTCTATGTCCAAAACATTCTTGGCTTCACAGGAAAACTAAAAACGCCGCTTAAGACTGAGGCTGCTTACGACGGTGTTTCTAACAATCGCCTCATTATTTTCGACAGACATTCAAATTTGAATTTTCTTGTCGATACGGGCGCTGATATATCGTTGTTACCTAAAAAGGTTTTATTGAAGCCGTGGCATACTAATTTAAAACTTTTTGCCGCAAATGGTACTCAAATTAATACTTACGGTTCTAAAACTTTAATTTTGAACCTCGGTTTAGGAGAGAATTCAAATGGAAATTTTGTGTCGCGGATATTCAACGTCCTATTTTAGGCGCCGATTTCCTTTGTCATTTTAATCTCCTAATTGACATTAAAAACAAGAAATTGATTGATAATGTTACCGGTCTTATGAATACTGGAAAAATTCAAGAAGTTGCGCATTTGTCAATTTTTACCACATCTCCTGATTCTGTGTACCACAAATTTTAACCGAATTTCCAGGACTCACCCGTTTTTCTCCAATTTCCTCGGTAAAAACGCATGGTGTTGAACATCATATCTTTACGGAAGGTTCTCCTAAATTTTCGACTCCCAGAAGACTTACTCCTGAGAAACTTAAATGTGCCAAAGAAGAATTCAAGTCTATGATGGAGCAAGGAATTTGCAGGCCTTCAAGCAGCTCCTGGGCAGCCCCTCTACATATGGTACCTAAAAAGGAACAAAATTCTTGGAGACTGTGTGGTGATTATCGTGCACTCAATTCAGTGACTATCCCGGATCGTTATCCCTTACCTCATATTCAAGATTTTTCTTCTTCACTTTTTGGTAAGAATATCTTTTCTAAAATCGACTTAGTTAAAGCGTACTATCAAGTACCCGTCGCTAAAAAGATATTCACAAAACAGCTGTCACTACTCCATTTGGGCTTTTTGAATTTGTCGTAATGCCTTTCGGTTTACGAAACGCAGCCCAAACTTTTCAACGGCTCATGAACTCTTTACTTAATGATTTGAGTTTTGCCTTTTGTTATCTTGATGACATTCTTATTGCTTCTAAAGACGAGAAAGAACATATTGCTCACTTACGCATTATTTTTGATCGTCTTCAACAAGCTGGAATGACAATCAATGTCGCTAAATGTCTTTTTGGTCAAAGCGAGATTTCTTTTCTTGGTTACTTAGTTTCTAACCAAGGAGTTAAACCTACATCCGAAAAAGTGAAATCAATTATCGATTATCCTAAACCTAAGACACTTCATGAATTATGCAGATTCTTAGGAATTATCAATTATTATCGTCGCTGTCTCAAGGATGCTGCAAATCATCAAGCTCTGTTAACAGAATATTTAAAGGACAGTCGCAAGAGGGATAGAAGAATTATTTCTTGGATTAAAGAAGCGGAATTAGTTTTCGAGTCATGTAAAGAAGAACTTTTACAAGTTACTACTCTTTCTCATCCTGCTCCTCACGCTCCTCTTATTTTAACTTGTGATGCTTCTGACTTTGCTGTTGGTGCATCACTTGAACAGTCTATTGACGACGATATCAAACCAATAGCATTTTTCTCAAAGAAACTAGACAAAGCTCAAAGAAATTATAGCACTTATGATAGAGAACTTTTAGCATTTATTTGGCTATTAAACATTTCAGACATTTTGTTGAAGGAAGACAATTGATTATCAGAACTGATCATAAACCTTTGATTTTTGCTTTCCGTCAGAAATTGGATAAAGCGTCACCAAGACAGATCAGACAATTGGACTTTATTGCTCAATTCTCTACAAATATTACCTATATTTCTGGAAAAATGAATTCAGTTGCTGATGCTCTGTCAAGAATTGAATCTATTTCAATGCCTATTATAGTTTCTTTAGAAGAACTTGCTAATTATCAGAAAGAAGATGAAGAACTTCAAGTTTTACTTTCTTCAAATTCTTCACTTCTGTTGAAGAAACTTATTCTTTCAGGATCAACCATACCTATTTATTGTGATTGCTCTTCGGAATTAATTCGTCCATATGTTCCTGCTACTTCAGCTCCTGTTCCTGCTACTTCAGCTCCTGTTCCTGCTACTTCAGCTTCTGTTTCTGCTACTTCAAATCCTTCTTCTTCTTCTACTGTTGGAAAACTTTACGTACCTACCCACCAAAGAAGAAAAAAGTCCATTTCGCAACGAATATCGTCACTTGGGGGGAGTTACTGTAGCATTCATCATCCACACCTTTCATTTACACTCTACACTTTTATTACACCTTACACTTTTTACTGCACTTTTACACTTTTACATCTTTATACATTTGTAATAACTTCAATTCATTAATTAATATAATGTTTTTAAGAAAAATATATATTTCCATAACAACACATTCATTCATTTATTTGTTATATATTAATTCTTTTTGTCTTTCGCTTTATACTTTTAATGAATAAACATTGCTTTCTTAAAAGATCTGGTGAATTTATTCATAAGTCGCTACATATATGTTCAAAACGCATCAGAAAATATTATCCGCATAATAGAATATTATATTCGAACAGAATATTTTAAAAGATTCTAGACCAATCGATATTTTCAGCAAATCGTTTTTGTATGTTTTTCAAGGAGAAAACACAGCGACATAAATCAATCTGTCTCGGAAAAAACCTCTCAAAACATCAACAATTAACGGTACCACAACCGTTCCGCCGAATAATTATTTTTCAGTGAGCATGCGCAGTTTATCACGGGCGCTTCTTTTCACCAATAATTATCGCGATCGCCCGCTCGCGCATGCTTTCTGCCAGCCGTCGTCCCGTTAATTTTGACAATGGCCAATTACGCGTAATGCGCTCAGGTCACCTCGCGCAACGTTTGAAATCCGCAAAACTATTGGCGCTTCACGCGAAGGTGGGCTCCATCCTAAAAATTATAAAAGAAGAGCTCACATCCGGCTTAGCAGCCTTATCGCTTTTCCGCCGTGAACCGCATAACGCAAACCGCATACTTGATAAACCGTTAAAAATTTGTTGACGACCGCCGCTTATTCCGCACTTTGATTTTTGATTACGATTTCACTGTAAAATAATTAACATTTGTATGAAGTTTGTTAAAGTGTATTTGTCATTAAGTGTGTTAGAGAATTAAATTCTTTTGATAAAACAGTGACTCATCCTTTGTGCCGCGCGACCCTTTCTTACGCAGCGCGTTCGCGAACATATTTTGGTCCTTCGAGCCGGATATCTCGCACCGGCAACCGCAAGTTCGCGAGCGTGACTCTTCGTGTGAGTGAAGAAAGTGAGCATCTGTGTGTGCAGCCATCATGGATGTACCCACGCTGGTCGACTGTCAGCGTGAGATTCAAATCCGCATCTTACGTTCCGTGGAGTACTTGAAGAAGCTGGGCAGTTCCAATATCACTACCAGTGCTATCGCCACACGCACCAGAATTTTGGATCAGCTGTGGACGAAGTTCGAAGCGCAGCACGATCTTATCCGAGCAGCCTTAAAAGAAAAGTTCAGCGAGAGCGATTATTTTAAGTCAGAATTGCACGCTGATACGGAGAATCTATATGTCAACCAAAGAAGCATACTTGACGGCTACGCTGAACACTTTCGTGCATCGAGCGTACCTCCTTCTGCCGACGCCACGCCAAGGTCGTCACTGCCGCGCATCAAAGTACCGCCATTCTCTGGTGCCTACGCAGATTGGCCGTCGTTCAGAGATCTCTTCCTCTCCGTCGTGAGTGGCAATGCGATCTCCAACATCGAGCGCTTTCATCACCTCCGCTCATGCTTGACAGGGCCGGCTGAAAAATTAATCAAGTCGTTACCTGTCACCAGTGACAATTATGATCGCGCTTGGGCGATCCTGGACAAACATTATAACAATAAAAAGGAATTGATCCGCTCCAACTTTGCCACATTCATCGCCGTGCCAAAGATGAAGGGAGATACCGCAGAGGAGTTGAGACGCATTCACAACGCCGTTACTGCCGCCGTCAATGGCCAGGAGAGCATTGGACGTCCAATTAACACCCACGGAATGGACCTCTTCAACTTCCTAGTCACCGAATTGTTTGACGCACGTACGCGTCTGGAATGGGAGTCGTCCACGTCAGACTCATCAGAGCCGGCACAAAACGAGGCACTCGTTGACTTTATCAGCCGACGGATCCTGACGCTCAATGCCGCACGACCGAAGAGTATTAGCAAACCGCCCGGAGAGGCTTCACGGATTGCCAAGATTCACTTCACTAAGCAGCAAGGAGCTGAGCCGCCGCACTGTACACTGTGTCATGAAAGGCACACCTTGATGACCTGCCGAGATTTCAAGGCCAAGACGGTCCACGAGCGTAAAGCATTTGTAGAGACGAACAAGCTCTGCTACAACTGCTTAGAAACCACCTCGTATCTCGCTGTCAGTCGAAGAAGAACTGTCTTACGTGCGACGCACGACACCACACTATGTTGCACGGAGCAACCACGTCTTCACAGGCAGCTGAGGTCACCACACGCGCCACTACACTGACCACGACTCTTCAAGGGTGAGATCATAAGGCTGTTCTTTTTGCTACAGCTCGACTTAACATCGCCGACCGGTACGGCTCACCACACGCCGTACGCGCCTTGATCGACCAATGCTCCGAGGTGTCGATCATTTCTGAGGCCTTGGCGCAACGTCTCCGCCTGCCTCGAGTCTCGACGGATCTCTCGATCTTCGGAATTGGAGGAACCCGCTCAGGATCAGCTCGTGGCAAGGTCACGCTGCACGTCACGTCAGACGTGACCAACGCCGAGCTCCGCGTGGTAGCTTTTGTGCTGCCCCGCATATCATTGCAGCAAGGCTCAGTCTCGCGAGAAGAACGCAGCTGGCCTCATCTCGACGGACTCCAGCTGGCTGATCCTCGCTTCCTGGACGACGACCCAGCTGAGCTACTGCTGGGAGCCGAGGTCTACTCCTTGATCCTCGAGGAAGGTCTCCGCAAGGGTGACTCAAGGATGCCGATCGCCCAGCAGACCAGCCTGGGATGGATCCTGTCCGGCGGCTACGACGCAACAACAACCAACGGACATTGCCGCACATTCCGGTGCACCGCCGATCACGACCTCACCGACCTCGTTCGACGCTTTTGGGAGCAGGAGAGCGAGCCAATAATTCGGGCTCCACTTACTCCCGAGGAAGCTAAGTGCGAGGAATTATATGTGCGCACCGTCACACGCACGTCTACCGGGAGGTACATTGTGAGGCTGCCACTTTCATCACCGCCGACGAATTTTCACGAGACTCGCCGACCAGCGGAGCGTCTCCTGAGAGCCATGGAGACCAAAGGCAGCCGAGATCCTCGATTTGGCGACCTCTATCGCAACTTCATGCAGGAGTTCGAAGACTTACAACACATGAAGAGAGTCAACATTGCAACGACAGCGGATGATCTCAAGTGTTACTTACCGCATCACGGGGTCCTGAAGGAGTCGAGCACGACGACAAAACTCCGAGTCGTATTTAACGGCTCTCAACGCACACGGGCCGGTACTTCGTTGAACTCTCATTTGTTGACTGGGGCGAATCTTCTGCCAGCGCTCAACGACGTGTTGCTGCGATGGCGTTGGCACCGGTACGTCTTTGTCACCGACGTAGAGAAAATGTACCGCCAAATCCTCGTACATCCTGAGGATTGCCGTCTTCAAACAATCCTGTGGCGTCACAACAAGACGGACGAAATCTAAGAATACGAGCTGCTAACAATGACCTACGGCATGGCTTGTGCACCGTTCCTGGCCATACGAACGCTGCGGCAACTCTGTACAAACGAGGGGGCGCAATTTCCTCAAGGGGCCACAGCACTTCGGCGAGACTGCTACGTCGACGACGTGGTCACCGGCGCAAACAACCTCGACGATGCCATCAACCTCCAGACGGAGCTACGCCACCTGTGCACGGCGGGCGAATTTCCACTGAGGAAGTGGGCCTCAAATAACTCCGAGGTCCTCGCGGGAGTCCCTTAAGAGCTTCGGCTGCAGCAAGGACCGCATTCATGGGACGGAGAGAGCCATTCGACCTTGGGCCTGCGATGGCATCCTCAAGATGACTGGTTTGCCTTCGCCATACATCCACGTTCAGTCACAGAATTCACGAAGCGACGAGTCCTCGCCGAGACTGCACGGCTATTCGACCCGATGGGCTGGCTTGCGCCTGTCGTGATTCGGGCGAAGATCCTGATCCAGATCACATGGCTTCGGCAGCTGGACTGGGACGCTCCACTGCCTGTTAAGGATGTTCAACGTTGGCAACAGCTGCTGAACCAGCTACCTCTGCTCAGCAACATACGAGTTAAGGGGATGCCGGAGGTCTACTTTTACCGGCCGAACGATTATATTTTTTCATTATATTTTCATTATATTAATCCGATTACATTTTCCAACACCAAGAAGTTTTTATTGCGTTAATAGAATAACAAATGCTTTTCCACGATTAAAGTTAATACAATAATAAAGTACGCAGCTGTCTCAATTTGTGATAAAAAGACAAAAAATTTTTAAATACGAGTTTTTTTTGCTTCTCGCGTCACGTCATAACAATATTTGCTTGTATAAAAGTTTCACAATTTATACGTACAAAATAAGACCGCTTCGTCCAAAAGATTGCATAAAGGAATATTAATAAGCTTGCAGAAATAAGTTTAGAAGTCTAATAAAAAAGATCTTGGTGTTGGAATATTTCATTCACATGTGTATGTGCGAAATGACATTTGGGAATAATACAGAGCAGAAAATTAGTTGCGCGATGTCGCGATAGATGGAGCTGCAATCGTGCAGTTAGACAAGGCAGACAGTCATATTATCTTCGTCTCTCTCATGCTGTCTTGTCTTCTGACCACGGTGTGTATACGACGTGCTACGACTCTCTCTCTCACTCTCTCTCTCTCTCTCTCTCTCTCTCTCTCCTTCAAATTGCTCGTTCATAATTGTATGCGAGTGATTTGAGAGAGAGAAAATATGCTTTCTAAAAGTATGTAGATATAATATGCCAATATTATATATGTTATATGTGTATACATATATATATATATATAATATATATATGTGTGTATATATATATATATATACATACATATATATATATATATATATATATATATTTTCATCATATATTTTATATATATATTTTTTTATCAAATATTCCGATTTATTATGTACGTAAAAATGCGCGTCAGATCTTTCGTATTCGCGCGGTATCAGTAGTATGTATGTACCACAGTAATCCGCGCGTATTATACGTTGATATGATCTACTGTGCGACGCCTCACTCACGTCGCGCGGTGCTATGCACGTTCATACGCGTAAAAAGCAGCGTATACTTGAGTTTGTGTGTTGTCCACACCATGGGACGAAAATATGACGCCAAACATTTGCCCCTTTCGAAACGTAGAGTTTCCTTCAAGAAGGGCTGGATGTACAGGTTAGTTTATTTATATACATTTTCTATATATGCATACATACATATACATATATATATTATATATATATACACATATAATAATATATACACATACCTATTGATTTATTTAGCAATCTGTCTATCTATCGAACTATCTATCATCTATCGATCAACCTATCTATCTATCTATCTATCGATCTATCTGTCTCTTTTCTCTTTTCTACATTGCATTCTTTTATATATGCACACGTATATAATAATTTTTTTAAATATTGTACATTACAAAAGTAAAAATAATTAAATTTATAATCTAAAAATATATAAAAATCTTTTATGAATATAATAATTACAAAGTTTTAGTAGATAATTTTTTGTAATAAATAAATGATTTATATAATTTATTCTTATCTAACTACTGCTCTGTTTTGATAATAATAGTATTATTATGTATTCAATCTCTAAAATACTTTTATATAAATCATTTATTACAAAAAATTATTTACTTTATAATCAATTATAATTATTATAGATAGGCCTGTTTATACACATACACATATATATTGTGTGTAAGTGTGTGTATGTGTATAAACAGGCCTATCTATAATAATTATAATTGATTATAAAGTAAATAATTCTTATAATAAATGATTTATATAAATGTATTTTAGAGATTGAATACATAATAATGCTATTATTATCAAAACAGAGCAGTAGTTAGATACAACTAAATCATATAAATAATTTATTTATTACAAAAAATTATCTACTAAATCTTTGTAATCATAATATTCATAAAAATTTTTATATATTTTTAGATTATAAATTTAATTATTTTTACTTTTGTAATGTACAATATTTTTAAAAAATTATTATATACGTGTGCATATATAAAAGAATGCAATGTAGAAAAGAGAGAAGAGACAGATAGATCGATAGATAGATAGATAGATAGGTTAATGATAGATGATAGATAGTTCGATAGATAGACAGATTGCTAAATAAATCAATAGGTATGTGTATATATATTATATATATATATATATATACACAGAGTGTCCCAAAAAGAATCGGAACACTGAAAAATCTCGAAAAGTATACGTTTTACAGAAAAAGTTTCAGACAAAAGTTATAAAAAATGTATTTATTGATCTTATCAGTTTGACCTTGGACGGCGTTACCAAGGTCAGAATAAGGTCACTTTGAATTTTTTAGATGGAATCCTATAATTTTTATTACATATTCTTGTAGCTTATCTGGAGAGTTTTCCAAAACACTAATAAAATTATTTTTTATGGAGTACTCTTTGATTTATAAAGGCTAACAATTTTTTGACATAAAATGTAAAATATCTTTGTAAAATATTCCATTTTCGGTAATCATATCTTTTTTGCACGGAATAATGAGACCAATAAATTGGTGTAAAAAAACACATAGTTGCTTATAAAAAAAAGTATGCTGCTGCATATTGAATATTACATATTCAATTATCTGTTTTCTTTAATAAATTGATTTTTTATTATACTGTGCAAAAAAGTAGGTATGATTATCGAAAATGGGATATTTTATAAAGATATATTTTATGTCAAAAATTGTTAGCTTCTAACCTTTATAACTCAAAGAGCACTTTAGAAAAATAATTTTATTATAGTGTTTTGGAAAGCCCTCGAGATAAGCTACAAGAATATGTAATAAAAATATAGGATTCCATCTAAGAAATTTAAGGTAACCTTATTCTGACCTTGGTAACACTGTCCAAGGTCAAACTGATCAGATCAATGAATAGATTTTTTATAACTTTTGTCTAAAACTTTTTTCTGTAAAACGTATACTTTTCGAGATTTTTCAGTGTTCCGATCTTTTTGGGATACCCTGTATATATATGTATATATATGTGTGTGTGTGTGTGTGTGTGTGTGTGTGTGTGTGGTGTGTGTGTGTGTGTGTGCGCGCGTGTGTGTGTGCGCGTGTGTGTGTATATATATATATATACATATAGAATAAAGGGGGTATCATTAGAATATCGCAAAAAATTTATAGATAAAGAAAATCTTGCAAATTTTAAAATCATCTTTATTTTTTGAATGATCTCAAGAATACAAAGTTTCACTGTGGATATCACGTTGCAGGACATCCTGCGTATATATACACATACATACATACATACATACATACATTCATATACAGGGTGTCCCATAATTCGCGAACCACCGGGAATGGGCAGATAGAGCGTGTTAAACTGAATAGAAAAGTCCTGTATCATTTTGCGATATTCGCAATAATTATTGAGTTATTAACTAAAATATCTAAACGAATGAGCGGGTAGAAAGCGGTAGGCCGGACTCGGTGTGCATGTCGGATGACTTATTTGTTATATGCCGCTTAGTATCAAAGATATCATCTTACTTTTCGGCGCCACTACATTGGTCGCCGCTTGCTGCATGACGCCGCCTCTCGATCAAATAATGCTTTCTACCTGCTTATTCGTTTAGATATTTTAATAAATAACTTAATAATTATTGCGAATATCGCAAAATGATACAGGACTTTTCTATTCAGTTCAACACGCTCTATCTGCCCATTCGCGGTGGTTCGCGAATTATGGGACACCCTGTATATATATATATATATATATATATTTGTATATATGAATGTATGTATGTATGTGTATATATACGCAGGATGTCCTGCAACGTGATATCCACAGTGAAACTTTGTATTCTTGAGATCATTCGAAAAATAAAGATGATTCTAAAATTTGCAAGATTTTCTCCATCTATAAAATTTTTGCGATATTCTAATGACACTTCCTTCATTCTTATTCAATATTTATGGGGTTCAATTGTTATAAATTTTTTTTACATAATATATATATACATATTTTCTAAAAGTAACAATTTCTGAAAAATAAAGCAGTCTCTTGCTTATTTTAAATAGTTATTAGTAGTAGAAATATTATAGTAATAATAAATAGTAGTTACAATAGTACAATAGTAATAATAATAGTTATAAAGTTGCAGTAGTAACAAAAAAGATATCTCATGCCAAAGATGATCCATTCGTTTGCTAGTTGCTTTAAAAATATCTTCTCCCAGAACGATTTGCATGTGCGTTCTGGTTATTAAAAAAAGATATTTTACATCAGAGACGATTTATTCGTCTGTTAGTTGCTTTAAAATATCTTCTCCCAGAACGATTTGCATGTGCGTTCTGGTTATTAAAAAAAGATATTTTATATCAGAGACGATTTATTCGTCTGTTAGTTGTTTCTAAAATATCTTGTCCCAGAACG